GAGCCCAGCCGCGCCGCTGGGGGGGCCGGGGGGGCCCCGAGCCGCGCCGCAGGGGGGCCGGGGGGGCCCCGAGCCGAGCTGCGCTGCAGGGGGGCCAGGGGGGCCCCGAGCCGAGCCGCGCCGCCGGGGGGGCCCCGAGCTGCGCCGCGGGGGGGGGATGGGGGGGCCCGAGCCACAGGGACCGGGCCGGAGCCGGGCCACGGGGGCCGTGCTGGGGCCTGCGGGAACCGGCCGCGCCTCCCCGGAGCCCTTCTCCCGCTCCCACCCCAGCTTACCTCATGCTGCCGGCCGGCCCGCCCCTGCTGCTTAGTCTCAGACTTCCCGCGAATCTCTGATTCGCGGGAAGCAGGGAAGGGGGCGGGGCGTGCAGGGCAGGGGAGGAGGGGGAAGTGGGCGGGGTGAACAGCTGCAGCGCGGGGCCCTCTTGGCGCGGGGCCCAATTCAGCCGAATCGGCTGAATCGGCCTAAAGCCGGCCCTGGACACACACCCTGTGTGTGAGAGAGAGACTTTGAGACAGCAGCTGCTGCCAGCAAGCTCCCTCCATTCTGAACCCTGTCGTGCCCACCTCTCCCTCCCCCCTCCCCTGCTGCTCTGTGGAGATGGGGGAGCAGGAACGGGGGAGGGGGACACCCTGACAACAGCACCACTCTTCCCCCTGCCCCCCGCACTTAGGGTGACCAGACAGCAAGTCTGAAAAATCAGGACAGGGGGTGGGGGGTAATAGGAGCCTACATATGAAAAAGACCCAAAAATCGGGACATCTGGTCACCCTACCTGCACAGCAAGCAGGAGGCTCCCAGAGCAACTCCAAGGCAGAGGGCAGGAGCAGCACATGGCAGTGGGGGAGGGACAGCTGAACTGCCAGCAATTGCTAGCCTGCTGGGCAGCTGCCGCACAGGGAACTTAGGGGAGCTGATAGGGGGGCTGTCGGCCCACCCTGATTCCAAGCCCCGACCAGCTAGCTCCAACGGGCTGCTCCTTCTTCAAGTAGTGGACAAAGCAGGCAAATGCCAAACAACACTATAAGGATGCATTGCGCAACTTTAAACGAGCATGTTCTCTAAGTCAGAGGTTCTCAAACTGTGGTCCACGGACCACCACTGGTCCGTGAGCTCCATTCAGGTAGTCTGTGGATAGTTCCCTCTAAGGTGCACTCCTGGGCGGCCGCACATGAGAGAATGAAGGGCCACCCACCTAATTAGTGGAGCCGCGCAGGCTTAGATCCTCTAATTAGGTGCCTGGACCCTGGAGAAGATGAACATGTAAGGTGAGGTGGTGGCCTTGGGGGGGAATAGGGAGTAGGTAGGAGGGGGCAGTGGTGTGAGAAGTGGGGGTGGGGGGAATTTGGGACGTGCAGGGCTACGGCGGCCAGAGAAAGAGGCTCAGGGCTGCGGCTGCTGGGGAGAGACCCCCTTCCTTCCCAGTTTCAGCTCTGTGGCTGCTGTGGCAGGGGAGAGACCCCCCCCCCCCCCGCTTTCCAGCCAGAGCTCAGGGGCTGCTGCGGTGGGGGAGAAAGGGAGAGAACCCCCCTTCTTCCCAGTCCCAGCTTAGGGGCTTCTGCGGCAGGGGAGAGAGGGCACATCCATTGCATTAGAAAGGTTAAGACTACTGATATTAAAATATGAGTTGTGTGCTTTTATGTGTAGAACAAAAAAAAGTTTATTATTATTTAGGGTTTTTTTATACAACACTTTTATCCAAAGCGCTTTACAATAGTTAGCTAACGGTACATACAACATTTGGAAAGATCATTAAGTGGTCCGCCAAGACCCTCAGCAATTTTCAAGTGGTCCGCGGAAAAAAAAGTTTGAGAGCCACTGCTCTAATTGATCAGCAACGTAACAACACAACATTAACCAGGATGTTAAGTGAGGAGTTACTATATATTCACTTGCGAGGCAGGTGTGTGTGTGGGGGGGACAGGGGTTATGGGACTTGGACCTGTTCTGGGCACCACCAACAATTATACAAACCTGCCACCCCTGCTTCTCCTCCCCACCTCTCCCGCATCTTCACTGTCTGAAACTGGGACTGAGCCCAGCTGCTCCGGACTCCCTCCGCCGGCTCTAGCACCTCCCTCCCCATCCCCTCGCCTTCCCAGCCTCCTCCTGCTCTGGCCTCACCCTCTCCACCCATCTCCCTGACATAAGAACGGCCACACTGGGTCAGATCAATGGTCCATCTAGCCCACCACCCGGTCTTCGGACAGTGGCCAATGCCAGATGCTTCACAAGGAGTAAACAGAACAAGGCTCTTTATCTAGTGATCCATCCCCTGTCGTCCACTCCCAATTTCTGGCAGTCAGAGGTTTACGGACACCCAGAGCATGGGGTTGTGTCCCTGACAATTGTGGCTAATAGCCATTGATTGACCTATCCTCTATGAACTTATCTAATTCTTTTTTTGAACCCACAACAGTCTTCTGGATTTGGAATTTATGATCACACACTCACTCACCTGCACTCCCTTGAGGAGAATACAATTTGAGGACGGGATATGTACTAGGGGCTTTGCCCTCAACAGGTCTTCATAAGGTCTGGTTTCAGCACCTCTCCCATAGAGCGCTTGAAGCTTTTGGACAGCTTCACCTACATCACCTTCCTCCTCCTCTTCTTCCTCCTCTCCGGGTTTCCGCACAAGCTCCACCAGATTCTTCAGTTCCTCCTTCCATTCCTGCCAGTACAGAGCAGGGCAAACAGGCCATTGTTATCTTGGGCACTGGGGAGACTGGGCGGGGGCCGGGCAAGGTTGCTATAGAATAATGCAGGAGTTGGGGCTGGATTTGATTAGGGTTGTACAGGCAGCGGTAGTGGATTTCAGGGCACGTCTTCACTACCTGCCGGATCGGCAGGTAGTAATCGATCTATTGGGGGATCGACTTACCGCGTCTAGTGAAGACGCGATAAAATCGATCCCCGATGGCTCTGCCGTCGACTCCGGAAATCCACCGCGGCAAGAGGCGGAAGAGGAGTCGACGGTGGCGAGGCAGCTGTCGACTTGCCGCCGTCCTCACAGCCAGGTAAGTTGACCTAAAATACACAACTTCAGCTACGCTATTCACGTAGCTGAAGTTGCGTATCTTAGGTCGACCCCCACCCATAGTGTAGACCTAGCCTCAGTAGCTATGGGGGCGCCTAGAGCTCAGGCTGGGTGGGATTGGTGGAACAGCATTCCAATCAAAGGGACTACAGAGCTATTTTAGTGCCGAGCAGAGGGCAGAGGATGGGAGCTGGGAACTGGCTCGGTGCTGCAGGAGACGCTGTGGGGAGCTATAGTGCAGACACAGCACAAGTGGTTCCCTGGCTTCTGCAGCAGACGAACCAGTTGTGGTTCCAGCAGCAGGATTCCCCTCTGGACAACTACAAGCAAAGCAGGGAGGGAAGTGCTGTTGCTTCCACCTGTCCCCTCCTGATAGGGTGACCAGATGTCCCGATTTTATAGGGACAGTCCTGATTTTTGGGTCTTTTTCTTATATAGGCTCCTATAACCCCACACTCCCTGTCCAGATTTTTCACATTTGCTGTCTGGTTACCCTACCTCCTGACCTCCTAAGAGAACCAACCCCAACCCCATCCTTTACTTAGAGGACACACATTCTTTCCTGGAGCCCTTGGCAATCATCAGGCAAGGCTGAGGTTTAATACAAGAAGCAGCCAGCAGGGGCCTTCTGGGCCAGGGAGCCAGCTGCCCTCTCCATAAGACAGAGTTACCCTGTGGAGGGGCTGTGGCTACACACCCTGCAGCCAGGATACTGTCCTAAAGAACACATCCGTGCCCTGCGCCATGCTGAGGAATTAGACTTGCCTGTAGTGAGAGAAGGTGAATTTTTGCCTCGTAGTTTTTGCTCCGGCTGCTGCTGACTTGCACGATGCACGAGGTGCAGGTCTGGCTCCCCGACACTGGCAGGAAGAACCGCTCCTCAATGATGGCATTGAACAGCGAGCTCTTCCCAGCCCCGGTGCTGCCAACGAGCCCAATGTAAATGGGGTCCAGCGAAGACTTTTCTTTCAAGGTGAGGAGGCGGTTCCTGTGGAAAAGGCAAGAGGAAGGGAGGGTTAGACAGATTCACATATTTGGGAAGGGCCAGGCAGTTCCCTTCCTGACAAATACAACCCCATTGGAGTCAATGGAAAGACTCCCCTTCTCCCCAACCCCCAAATTGATTTAGATGAACACTGGATCAGGCTCCGCTATCATTAAGGTTTGGCTGGATGGACAGACAAGTTTTCCTGCCATAAACCATGAACCAAGGCCTAGAGCAGCTACAGCTGGCGAGGGGCTAGGAACCCTGGAATACGCCCCTAGAAGCAGAAGGTCTGTGTCATGGGGTGTATGTACCCCACGCTAGCCCAGCAACCAAAGGGTTAATACAGGCACTGCCAGCCACTACTGATTGGCTGGCTAACAGCAGCTGGGAGGATAAAAGGGCTGGGAGGCAGGAGAAAGGAACTCCTGTCAGCAGACTACCAGAAAGCTGCCCAGGGAGAACACCCCAGCAAGGGGCGAACAGGCCAATAGACTGAAGAGGCCCGAGGGAAGGCAGGACGGAGCTCAGGGTACTTTCAGAATCAGCAAACCCAGACGTTCCTTGTCTGGCTTGAGGGCCCTGAACTGGAACCCAGTGGAGTGGGTGGGCCTGGGTTCCCCTACCAGCCCCCCGACAGACCTGAGAACAGAGAGGCTTTCCAGGTTCCTGGACACCAGGAGTGGCCTGACAGCCCTGCTGAGCTGAGTGAGCCAGAGCCATGCCCTCCCCACGTTTGGCTGTGGGGACCCCTTTGCACTGACCCACCACCTCACGGTCTGCCTAGTGCAGTACGGACGTGTCAACACGGTTGTGAGTCCGGGGTCCAGCCATCCTAAACCTGGGTTTACAATGCCATGTGGATGCACAAGCGCAGGCTTGGAGACACCGACTCTCTAGGCGTGGGTCCCACAGACCCAGGTTTACAATGCAGTGTAGACATACCCCTAATGGCCTTATTCTCCCCATGTCATCCTGTTCAGGCAGCGGGGCCCAATCCCAAACTGGGAGCATCCCCAGAGAGCCGTGTAAGCCCAGAGAAGCCTGTGCAAAGGCCCTGAGCCGCCATACCAGCTCTTTGCTTCTCCTTGGTTCCTGAGCAGCAACGTTCTATAGAACCTGCACCATTAGGGATGCCTCCCGGCCACAGTTTCCTCTTGGAGCCCTGGGGGGAGACCCATGTGGGGAAGGTATCTGCAGTGGGGTTCTCTTTTCCAGTAGCTCTACAGGGCTGGGGAATGAACTGTCCCTGTGTAAGCGGGGGAATGGTCCTGCTATTGTGGGGAACTTTCCTCGCTTATACACTATCCCGGTGAACTGGGCTAGCGACAGGATCTGAGTCCTTGCTCCAGCTCCCTTTATCCACAGGCCTGCCTGACCTGGGGGACTTCCCTTACACTCTCCAGGGTGGCAGAGTCCTCGTAACCCCGACAAGGCTGGACCCAGCATTCCTGGGGGGCTTGACCCCCAAACTTGTCCTGGTCACTTAGGCCAGGGGCTAGGGTGTCCCCACTCCAGGGCGTGTTCCCTGCACTGGATGCTTCCCTGACCCACTGATCACTGCATAGAGCTCAAAGCAAATACAGTTTATTAAACAGCACCCAATTAAAACAATGAGGGAAAACTGGGAAAGGTTAAAGGAAAACCCATCACCCCGCTCTGTGGGCACAGGGGCACCACAACCAGCGTCGCTGGAACGTCAGGGCAGCTCGGTCTGTTCCTCGCCCGTCTCAGGCCCTGCCCAGGCCCTGGCTGTGCGGCAGGGACGCTGCGGGTCGGACACTTGCTCTGGCGGTGGCCACACGCCCTCAGGCTGTAGGTGGCAGGGCCCTGCTTCCCAGCGTGGCCCCCGCCCTGTCGGGGTTACGATCCCCCCAAGTCCGGCCTGCTCCAGCCCCAGCTCCACCCCTCTGCCTCAGCCCCAGCTCCACTCTCCTGCTGCTGCTGCTCTGCCTCCAGCTCCCTGGGCTGCTTCTCTGGCTCTGGTTACTACAGCTCTGCCCCCAGGACAGGTCTGCTCTGGGGGCTGCTTCTGTGACTCTGCTCCCAGCTCTGACCTGCTTCCTGGCTGCTTGTCTGGCCCCTCTGGCCGGCCCGGCTCTGCTCCCCAGCCCAGCTCGGACCCCTGCACTCTCCTTAGCTCGGCCCCCCTCTGTCTGACCCAGGCAATTCCAGCTCACATGGACGGGACTCCCCGGCCTCCTGACTCCCTGATTAGCTGCCCACCCTGTCAATCAGGCTGACCTGGAGCTTTGGCCTCTCCCCATTGTTCCTGGGGACTGCCAGTCTCAGAGTCCTGATTTCCCATCAACCCCTCCCCTTTCTTTTGGTACTGGGAGCTAGCAACCAAAACACCCCCACTTCAATTTAGTAAGGGGACAACAGTCCCCTTACACCTGCAGCAGGGACATCCCATAGCTGCAGGGTTCTTATACTTTCCTCTGATGCAGCTGGTGCTGCCTCTGTCAGAGAAAGGACCCTGGCCTAGAGGGACCGTGGTCTGATCCAGTTTGTCAATTCCTGAACCATCTAGACCTGGTGCTGGTGCGATCTAGACACAGGCCTGAATCGGAATCCTGCAAATGCAGGAGGAGTTCAGAGCCAGATCTGCACAGTGCGACATGGGTCTGTCCATAGAGCAGGAAAGCAGAGCCCTATGTGAGTGTAGGCTGGGGTGTCTAAATCATTGGGCGTTAAGGGAGAAATTGGGCTGCAGACTCACTTGAGATATTTAATCTCTTCCGACATATTATCCTGGGACAGAGAGTTGGTCAGCTTCTCATACGTAGTGTTCAGAACTTTTCGGGTCCTGGATTCCATATTTTCATCTGGAAGGAGGAGACAATTACATGCCAGGGATAGACTCAGCTCTCACCAGCTAAGCAGCATTGTGCCAGGTCAGTGCAAGGAGGGGAGACCTCCAAGGAAAACCCAGGATGCTATAGGAAATGGCAACGGTGATTCAATAGATGGCTCTTCATCCCTATCAGCCCCAATGCTCCAGCATGGTGCTAGGGGGTGCCGTGCTACCAGCCCAGTGGTTCTCAACCCGCAGCCTACAGGCCACTTACAGCCCAGTCAGCACACAGCTGCAACCCATGTGCCATCCTCAGGGCCATACAGGTACTATATATATATTGTACGTAAGAACATAAGAACGGCCATACTAGGTCAGATCAAAGGTCCATCTAGCCCAGTATCCTGTCCTCTGACAGTGGCCAATGGCAGGTGCCCCAGAGGGAATGAACAGAACAGGGAATCAGCAAGTGATCCATCCCCTGTCACCCAATCCCAGCTTCTGGCAAACAGAGGCTAGGGACACCATCCCTGCCCAGCCTGGCTAATAGCCATTGATGGACCTATCTTTCTCTGTGTGGATGTGACCAACATATTAACATATTGAGAGCTGCATATGCGGCCCACAATGGTAAATAGGTTCAGAACCACTGTGCTAGAGGCTATTTCCGATGAGCTTTAAGAGTAGGGTTACCATATTTTGTGCCTCCAAAAGGAGGACACTCCACGGGGCCCCCGCCCCCAGCCCCGCCCGCGCCCCCGCCCCAACTCCGCCCCTTCCCCAAAGTCTCCGCCCTCTCCCCTGCTTCCCGTGAACATTTGATTCGCGGGAAGCCTGAAGCAGGTAAGGGAGGCGTGGGGGGAGGAGGCGCGGCCCAGTCTGGCCCCCCCCGGCGTCTCCAGCCTGGGTCGGCGCGGGCCCTGGGGTGCCGAGCACCCCCGGCCCGCCCAGCACTGCCGGTCCCCGGCTCGACCCCGG